GTCGGCCCTTCGGCCCAGCAGCCGTGGCAATGGGACCAAGGCACCCGCAGGCCGTCCCCTGCAGCTGGGTGTGCAGGCTGCCCCCTGCACCTCAGCCCAGACTGCGTGCTGTGTTCTCACCGAGGCCAGTGGTGACGCAGAAGGGTTAAACCCAGGTCCCCTTGGGCAGCGGGAAATCCAGCCACCTGAAGGCTGGTGGAGTCGCCCGGCCCCAGGAAACCCCTTTTCCTGCAGGGATCTGGCTCACCGGTTCACACCTCACCAGGGGCTGAGGGGTCTGTATTTTACAGAGGGGGAAGGTGCACGAGAGCCGAAGCAACCTGCCCAGGGTCTCCGTGCCAAGCACAGGACCTAGAGATCCTGGGCCAAAACCACAGGCCTATTCTTCCTCCTTTCATTCTTACCTGGATTCCCCAGCGCCTCAGCCGTACGTGGAACTCGTCACTTCCCCTCTTGCACGCTGTGGCACATTTAACTGGGAAAGGGCTTTGCTGGCCGGCGCTGCGGGAGCTGGGCGCGCAGCACCTGATGACAGCTGTAAGGGACACCGTGCACACCTTACAGCTGCCATCAGGCATCCCGGGCAGCTGCCCGGCTAGCCCCCCCCTCTTAGTCTGGCCCTGGCCGTGCAGAGGTGCCTGCATTTTAGCTGGAAACCAAGTGATCCGTGTGTGCACCCGTGCAGTCCTTGCTCAGTCAATCAAGTGCTCTGCGCCTTGCAAGAGGCACTTAGCAAGGAGACGAAGGGGATCAAGTGCCAGGGCAGAGCTGGGCTTTGCTTCCCAGTTGGCAGCTGCTCAGGCCTCTGCTAATGAGGACGATTGTGTCTTTGGCGTGTGCTGTTTGCGGGGGAGGAGATGCCAGCCTCCAGCCTGGCTTCCAGCGCTCAGCTCCTCACTCAGCAGGATGCCGCCTTGTTGTTCCAACTGAGACCCACGCCCTGCAGTTGGAGCTCAAACACCACCCTTCCAGTAACCCCCGGGGTCTCAGTCCGCCCTGCACAAGCTGTGTTACTGGTGGTTCACCTAGCCTGGTCTCCCTGGCTGTCTCGTGGCCCGCGATCCTACTGCGATAGCTGGTGAAAGGGCCACTTTCTCCTCCCCCTTTATCCCAATGTAAACCCACCGGTGTGAGACTGGAGTCAGGCCTGTAGGACAGAGGTGGCTGTGCGAACAGCCCTCCTGTAGCCTGCAGCAGCAGAGCAAGAGGGGTGAGCGTGGGGGGCTGGAGCTGTCCAGTGGGACTGAGCAACACCGCCAGCCCCCATCGGAAGCACCTGCCCAGCCGGGCTCGACTGCGCCTGAGCACCCCCTCCTGGCCACACTGCCCCTGCCATGTGTGGCTCTGAGGGGGCCCCTGCCTGTCCCCTCCCAGGCGGCCTTTGCGCACTTGGCGCTGGCCTTCCGCTGCGACGCGTTCACCCTGCAGCGGGGGGTGCAGGTGGAGGAGCGGGCGCGGAGCGTGGCGGAGGAGAACATCCAGCGGGAGCTGGAGGGGGGCCGGGCCGCGCTGCAGGTCAGTGGGGCCAGGTTTGGGGGGGGCCCTGCTGGGGAAGGAGAGCCTGGCTGTGTGTGCCCCATGCAGGCCCATCCTGTTTCGACCTGATCCCAGTCCTGTTGGCCTGTCTCCCGCCGGTGCTGGAGCTAGGGCTGCGGGGGAGGGTGCTGCCGCCCCCCTGGCGGGAAGTGGTTTCCATTACATCCAGGGGTTAGTTTGGGTCAATGGCTCTCACCCCCCCCCTTCACCCCCCTCCATGTGGGAGAGGGGCCGACCCCTGCATGGGCATCACTGTCACGCCCTGAGCTCCGGCTCCCCCCAGCCTCGGATG